TGGCGTCAGGTGGCACGTGAGGCCCACGCTCTGCCTTCCAGGGTGTTTTCTGGTTCGATTTTTGTACTGCCGGACTCCATTTTTCACAATAAAAACATTTATGGCATTAAAAATAATATTTAATGAACATAAAAATAAAGACATCTTCCTCCTTTATTATATTCATGCATATATCATGTATATATATTTATATAAAAATATACACATATTTTAATGCATAAAAATAAGCACGAAAATACCCATATTAACTCTGATATCAATGTAAAACAAAGTATAACGCAGCGGAATAAAAATTATGGTCATACCTTTAGAACAGATTCTGAATTGAAGGATCTGGTGGGTAAATCACGTGCTTCCTGAATCTGATCAGTCAACCCAGCAATGGAGTGATATTACAATAGTGAATATCACCCACACAAATCACAGTACAAATGGCTTTGATCGTTGGTTTTTGGCAAAGAGTCAGTATGTGGGAAAAAACTCAAACATACGTTGTTTTTCTCTTAATCACCCATATCTCATATTATTAGATATATAATATGTTTATCTCATTTATCCATATCAGTTATATGAGATAATATAAGATATATCATCTATCCATATCAATTATATGATATATATATATATTCTAAGTGGTTATTCAAATAGGTTTGAATTTGAATTCAAAATCCATTTGAATAAGGTTCAAAAGATTCAAAGGATCGTGCCACATAGATGCCTGTTTCTAACAATTCTTGTATTGTATGCCATGGGAACCAACACTCTACGACATCAATTAAATTTCCTTCTACAAAACTATTTAGAACTGTACGTAACTTTAGATTACCACCTCAATACAACTCATCAACAAATTTTATTATACTTGCAAAATAATGGCATAACCTTTGAAAACCATCTCATTTAAAATAAATGCAACATAGCCCATCAAATAATGTCCAACAATTTCGTCACATCAGAAGCACAATTCTGTCTTGGCTTATCTCCAAATTATTCATTTGTTTCCATCAATTTTCTATCCCTGCAAAAGACTCCAGTAAGTACATTATAACTAAGTCTAATAACATCTAATTTACACCTCTTCTCTGTCATCTCACTTTAAACAGCATATGTCGTATCAAAATCTTCATCCTGGCAAAACCCACATATCATTGCACAATAAAGTAACTATACTATAAGGATTATGCCCTTTTTCTAGCATTTCCTCTAAAGATCCAATAACATCTTCCTTGCAACTGACCTTGAAAAGTGCACTAATTGTAGGTATCAACATCTCATCTTCAAGCTTAACAACCAAACTCAAATCATTCACATTACATCAAGGTTCTAAATATCGGCCGGTAGGTGCCGTTCCGGCCAGTTCGTACCGGAAAATTGAAGTGCCGAGTTGGATACTCACCGGTATACCGGTGAGAATGAATTTCACATCCGCAGCGGCCGATTCCCGATATGTATCGGCCTGAATCCGAAACGTGAGCGATACAATTCCGATATGGTTCGGTACGACTGAATAAATGGAAAAAGAGGAGAAAAAAAGAAGAAGAGAGAATTAGGATGGATTTAGAAGAGAAGTATGTGAACCTGTTGAGAGATGGAGTGGTGAGCAATCTGGTAATCCTGGTAGAGGATGTACATACCCACAAATGATGCCGCTGCGGCGCCGGCGAAGAACGACGCCATTCTCACTCTCAGAACGTAACCCATCTCTCTCTCTCTCTCTCTCTCCCCCCTTCTTCACCTGGGCTATGCTCGAATCTGATCGATAATGCTTTTAACCAAACAGGCGCTAAGACGGAGGCTGCTTCTGTACTGTGTTGGCCAACTCCAGCCAGAAGGAGCGACGTCGTTTATGGTTACTAACCAATTTTTTTATTATTATTATTATTTTTTTTTTTTAGGGAAACTACCAATAATTGTACATTTCTATCAAGGATTATTAAAAATATATTTTAATAAAATTGTTACTAAAAATATTATTTTGTGATAATTATATATATATATATATTGTTAAAAATTGATAATTAATGATTTTTTTATCATAATTTTTATAAATTATCACTAAAACTTACCATTAGTAATTTTTTTGTGATGAATTTTTTGAACTGTCGCTGAAAATTAAAAATTAGTGCATTTTTGTTACGATTTTTTCAAACTGTCACTGAAATTTATAATTAGTGATAATTTTTATGACAATTTTTAAACCGTAGCTGAAAATTAACAATTAGTAATTTTTTTAATAATATTTGATGAATAACATCATTAATTATCATAAGATTTATTGAATAATAAATTTACCTATTATAACTTACACATAGGCTACAAATTTTTTTTTCTTTTCCCTTTCTTTTTTTTCCATCCTAATTTTGATTAAAATGTGATAAATTAAGGCTAAAAAAGTCAAAAAAAAATGCATAAAATTGAGTTTTAGAGGAATTGCTAATGATTTTTGAAATTTCACAGCCGTGACGCCCGATACCCGATACGTACCGGTCGATACTACCGATACCGATACTCTGCGATCGATACCGTTACGTTACCCGATAACGCGATTTAGAACTATGCGTTACATAGCCTTAAAAGCATTTGGTTTTACTTTAAAAACTCTCACCATATTGTCTTTTAACCAAACACCTACATGATCAAATTCTTCACTTGTACATTTCATCGAACACATTCCAATCACTATTCAAACAACCAGCATTGTTATCCTGATACCTCTAAAATAAATAAATAAATAAATAATTGTCTTATTTTCGCAAATTGCCGACAAGATGATGACAGATCGTTCAAGATGTCGTTTGCTTTCCATGTGGTCACGTTTTGAAAATCGATTAAAAAGTGGTGAGTTTGTTAGCAAGTTGGATTGTAAGGATAAAACTAAAAACGTGATCTATTAATTTAGAGCCGCACTAATTAATTACCTATTAAGTCCAATCTATTAGGATAGTCCGTAAATCACCATTTTTTAGACCGCAACAATGCTAGGTAGTTCAAAATTTTATGACTCAAATAGCTCAAATCACTTAAAACAACGTCGTTTTGACAGATTTTGACTGTAAAACGACGTCGTTTTGACAGATTTGAGCCACTTGAGCCACAAAATTTTGAGTTACCAAACATTTTCCTTTAGACCGGTAGGTAGAAATTTCAAAATCCGAAAGTTTTGTTTGGCAATTAATTTTTTTGCTAAAAAAAGTACAAAAGAAAAAATAAATTAAATAAGTCAATAAAATAAAATATTACATCTAAACTATAATCATATTTTTTTTTTAAAAAAATAAAAAAAAAATCAAACTTAACAAACTTTTAGTCTAAGCTCAAATAGTCAAATAATCAAAAAATCAACTAAAAAAACCGATTGCTAAACGACAACTAAATCTGAGTAAAGATATCAAAACAATCCCAACAACTAAAAATTTAAATTGTATATATATAAATACTAATTGTTAGACGATGTTAAAATAATGAGAAAATTGATAAAAAAAAATTAGCTCTACCAATTGTGTAAGGCATTAGGTTCAGTGTTGTTTATTTATTTATTTATTTTTTGGTGAAAGGTCCTCACATTCTAAAAAAGTCCACACTTTTTTTATGTTTTGTTATCAAAACAATCCCACACATTTTATTTCTGATTTTATTCCTTAATTATTATTATTAAGAAGAAAGTATGAGGAAATTAAATAACATCAAATCTTATTTTATTATTATTATTATTATTATCTAATCTTTCTCACTTTATCCATAAAAAGAAGAAGAAAGTAAAAGCAAACTAAAAAGAGAAAGGACAAAAAAAAAACTAGTCTATTGCTAAGTTCCGTCAGCATCATCAACATTAACAATAGCAACAACAACAACACAAGAACTATTACAAAACTCAAATATAGAGAGAGATAAAGAGATATCAAACAAACATATATATCTATATCTATATATGTATATATATATCAATGATGGTGATGAAGAGATCTAGATCCGTAGCTCCGTCGTGGTGACGATGGGAGTCTCTCTCATTTTGAAGAAAAAACCTAACCCACTCAGGCAATTGCTAAATTAAAAACACGTACTTCACCAAGGAAAGACGATCGACAGTCGAAATCGAAGACATCAAAACACCATTTGGAGAGAGGAGGTTGAAAACCCTAGAAGTGAGCTCGAAATCGACCGAGTCGATCCAGCTTGTGGGGGAATGAGGAGTCCGGTGAGGTGGCGACTCGATTGCACTGCACATGGCGGCAATCTGCTACGACGTTGTGGCGATGAGAGGAAGAGAGAGAGAAATGGGAGGCGGGGGTAGGTAGGGTTGTAGTGATCGACAATGGAGTCGCAACGGCGCTCATCGGTCGTGTCAGAAAAGGCGACAACATTAGAGGAGGAGGAGAGAGAGAGAGAGAGAGAGAGAGAGAGAGAGAGAGGGGATCGGTTTTGATTTTTTGGCAATGTATAATATATTATATATATAAAGAGAGAAAGATAGGCTATTTAATCATTGAACTTAAACTTGTTCTTATGAACAAACTAGTTCAGCGCCTGGAGCTCATATCAAACAAAATTTAAAATTAGAATTTTGGCTTTAGCGCTCTAAAATGATTCGGGTATCACGATCCCAAATATATATAAAGATTGTGGACTAACCTTGTGACTTTGAATTGAAGTTAAAGAATGAAAAAATGGATAGAGAAATTAACATACCATAATATTCTCCTTTCACAGCAGCATGAAGAACAGTGCAACCATCTCTTGTCCTCAATCCCATCAACCACTCATCATTACTTATTTTTGAAAAAAAATCAAAAACATCCCTATTGCCAAATGCAGCAGCAACATAAATGGGCGTCTCTCCCAACTCATTGCGCGCATTGATTAAATCTCCTTCCTTCTCCAGCATTGTTTCTGCCACATCCTTGTGACCAAACCGCGCAGCTTCATGCAAAGCAATTTCGCCATTTGCATTACATTTCTTAAGCTGTTCAGTGGTAAGTAAGCCATTCTTGTCAAGCATTTTAATGGCAGCTATGTTGCCGTGGATGGCAAGGAAATGGAGGATTGTGTTGCCACGTTGGTCTACGATCGGTATTGTGCCTTCATTTTCTCTCCAGAAGTTGCAGAGGATTTCGAGGGAATTTGGTTTCTTCTCTGATGCTGCTTTGTATGCATCAGAGAGACTCACCATTTTGAGAAATGTATAATTGAAATAATGTTGATGTACAAAAATGGCCATTTATGTGCATTTACTAAAGAGAAATAGAATATGAGGCTTTTACCAAAGAAAAAGATGATTGTGATAAGAGCAATTTTTCACTCACACGCAAAGAATTATTTGACATAATAACACTTATGCAGCTTTCAATCAAAAAATTAGTAGACTAATACTTGATTTTAAAAAATTAAAATTGATAGTGACAAAAGAAATTCTCACAGCCTCTTTCGATAATTCAAACCATTCATTTTGTCAAGCACTTCGTATATTTCATCCACACAAAAAAATTAAGTCTCTTCGATAACTGCAACTTGTTTAATTTATTATTTTTGTCATAAAAAAAAAATATGATTCATTTTTTAAACACACAATTGTCGTCCATTTTTGTAGTGAAAAACATTATAAATTGAACAAGTTTCAGTTATCGGATCGATCTCATTTTTTTTGTAAACGAAATACACAAAGTGTCCAATAGAATAAACAGTTCGAATCATTGAAATGGAGCCCGTGATGAGCCCCACGGATCCAAAAACAACTCCATTCAGTTCAGATTTTGGACTTCTCCTATTAAAAAATCATACATGACTAATAAATAATTAAGTTCATCACATAAGACTAACCGGTTATTTTATCCTTATTTGTATATGAAATTTTTAATTTTTACATTAACCTTGTTTGATGTTTGAAAAAAATATGTCAAACTTTATAGGTTTGACATATATTGGATTACTATAAGATTTTAATTATGAGAACACTTAATTTCCTTTTAATTAGTATTTTACTAGTTATATAAATAAAAAAAAATAATGTTCGCATACTTATTTTATACTAAAATATATATTTACATTGATTCTGATCTCTTCAACCTTACTAAAAGAGACATTAGTGCAATTTACTCCCTTTTCTTTCTTTAGTTGGATCATTCAATTAAAATTGAGGAACTAACTATGTGAAGAACAGGTAGAAGACAAGAATGGAGCAAGAAAATGGAAGAGGGTTGAAGTGAACCTTAAAGACCATGTCAAGGTCCCAGTGTTCCCTAAAGGACTCTCACCTGCCCTATACCAAGACCACTTCAATGACTATTTCTCCAAAATAGCCACGGACCAACTTCCTCAAAACAGACCCTTATGGGAAATTCACATTATCAAGTTCCCTACAACAAATGCATCTGGCCACATTATTTTTAAGCTTCACCATGCACTTGGTGATGGCTATTCTCTTATGGGTGCTCTTCTTTCTTCCACACAAAGAGCTGACAATCCTTCTATTCCCTTAACTTTTCCTTCTCGCCAATCACAGTCCCAACAGAAGGAAAATGGTGAAAAAGTAGGCAATATTTTCCGGCATGTGGGGAGGATTTTCTCTGGAGTTTTTGACACTTTGCTGGATTTTGGAGAGAGCATTGTGAAGAGGCGCTATGCGGTATATAACCATTGGTAGGCATCCGAGGTAAGGTCTGCAACAAAGCGGCAAAAGAGGGGGCATACCGAATAATCCGCATCCAATTCTTGGAGTTGTGAATACGAAATCTCTTTGGGGGATTTCTAGACTACTAACAATTAACCATATAATATGTGCTATGAACTTAAATGCCATGATCCTTTCCTCATACTTTTTATAAATGTTGTTGTAGGATATTATGGGAGAAATTTTTTTTTGTGTTTGGGAACGTAGTTGAGTTTTTTTATAATTGGATGTAATATTTGTGAGAAAAAAAAGTGAAATAATTATAGGGTTTGATGTGATATTTTGTATGGATTTTTTTTTTTTTTTTGGTTTTTTAACCAATTTATTTTTTAGTGAAAAAAATAAAAAAATAAAAAAAAACAAAAAATTGAGTTTCCAAACAGCGCCTTTCTCTTGATCAACTCAAACAAATTAAGGACAATAATGTGGTAAGTAGTAAGTGGTGTAGTTTTGTCAAGATCTAATTGCTGCTGATACAAGTAAGGTGTGTTTGTTTCGAAGGATTAGGGAGTGAGATTAGACTATTAATTTTATCGGATTATTTAGTTGGATTGGATAAGGAGGGATTATAATCTATTGAACTTGAGTCCTAGGACTGTGAATCTCCCGGACTATTTCGTTGGATTGGATATGTATCCTGTGTTTATTTTTTCATGAGATTAGATGTCTAGAAATGATTATTTTTAGTGAAACCAATGTTTGGTTGGACGGATTGAATAGGATATATGAACAAATGACTATTTTACCCTTTTTTAATTGTTTACTAAATAATATCAATATTAAACATATCTTTAATATTTTAATTTTTTAGCTAGATTAAATAAAATTTTATTTTATTTTATTTTTTACACAATTACATAAATTTATTTTAAAAATAAAATAAATAAAATATCAATAAAAATATATGTTATTTTTTTAATTAAAATTTTAAATAAATTTATTTTTAAAAATAATAATAACGGATTTGAAATTAAATAAAACATCTATTAAAATTTAAATAATGAAATTAAATAAATTATAAATAAAATTTTAAAATAAAGCATCGATAAAATATCTATAAAAAATTAAATAAATAAAACATCAATAAAAAGTTAAACAAAATTATTTTATTTTTAAATTGGGACATTTAAATTTTATTGAATTTTACTAAATATAATACATAATTAAAGAGTAGAGGGTCAAAATGATAATTTCATCACCTAATCCCAACAGTGGATAGTCCCCCAAAAATTGTCCCATACCCCCCAGGATACAATAGTCCCTCATATGGGGGATAAAGAGTCCAGCCAGACTCCATGTCCGACGGACTAAAAAAAATAAAACAAACGCCGGATAAAGAGCCTCTCCCGAATTAAAATCCTAATAGTGAATAAACCCCCCTTGACACATTTAAATTTTATTGAATTTACTAAATATAATACATAATTAAATAGTAGAAGGTCAAAATGGTCATTTCATCACCTAATCCTAACAGTTGATAGTCCCCCAAAAATTGTCCCATTCCCCCAGGATACAATAGTCCCCTATATGGGGGATAAAAAGTCCGGCCAGACTCCATATCCGACGAACTAAAAAAAAAAAACAAACGCCGGATAAAGAACCTCCTCCAAATTACAATCTTAATAGCGAATAAACCCAACCCCCCAATCAAACACACCCATAATATAATCCTCCCAATCAAACACACCCACAATGGGAGATTAGATTTTCTTATTGGTTCCCCCAATCACACCCACAATGGGAGATTAGATTTTCTTACTGGAATTTCTAACCTGCTACTGCAACATCAGATGGTGGAGACCATAACAATTAATGAATACATGTGGAACTGACCCAACTACTTCAATCAATGTATTCATAAAAATTTTAATGTCATTTTAGTTGTACGTGTTTTGTGCAGTTAATAATAATGAAGGAGAGAGAGGAAAAAAATGAATGAGAGGTACTTGATGGACTAGAAAAAATATTACACAAATTAATAAAATTTATAATTTTTTTTTTATTAAGATTTTACTTACAAATGTGACTTGTAGTAATATAGAACTTTGAGATTTGAAAAGCGATTTACTAGAATTATATGATAAATACAATTGATATGAATAAGAAAATTTTAAAAAAGTTATTAATTTGTATAGTACTAGCGTATACCCGTGCCTGAAGGCACGGTGTTAATAACGTTAGGATTAAAATATAATTATAATTCCAACACTATTTAATAAATTATCAATTATCAATTGTCAATTTAATATAATTGTAATCCCAACCCTTCTGTATTATTTGCAGATCCACGAATGCAAATAATATTAAGGTCACGCTCATCGCGGATAACAACATTAACATTTCTTATAAATGTTTTGTTCCTCATACTTTTTATAAATGTTATGTATATAAAGTTTAATTCGTGGGTCTGCAAATAATACAGAAGGGTTGGGATTACAATTATATTAAATTGACAATTGATAATTTATTAAATAGTGTTGGAATTATAATTATATTCTAATCCTAACGTTATTAACACCGTGCCTTCAGGCACGGGTATACGCTAGTATGTTAATATTTTAAATGACAAATTTTAATTGATCTCTAAGTGAGTATAGAATAAATTGGGCCTTTGGATTCAAAATATTCATTCTTCTAGTTTTGAATGTCTAGTAAAACTGATTAATAAGTTCTGAAAATCAATCACAAATTTGAAATGGAGCTTTTGTAATATTAGGAACAAACTATATGTAGAATGGTATAAAGGAAAATCAAAGAGAAAAATGGTTTATGCCAAATCAAAGAAGCTTCATGAAATATTTCACAATCAAGTTTAGTATTACATAAACAAAAAATTCCACTTTTTGTTTTTTTGAAAGAAAAACAAAATTGCAGAAACAAATATAGCAACATCTAGCTAAACCCAAGCTCAAACCCACATCATAAATGTGAATGAATATTAGTAAAAAACTGTTACTGAGTTCTGAATAGGTTCAAACAACAAATATCACATAAATGCACCTATATATATATATATATATATATCAATTTGATGAAGCAAAATATTCGATATTTAACTCAAATAATACACGAAGGACTATATTATAACAATGAAACTAACACTAATCACAATAAAAAACAGCATAAAGTCAAGAAGCGCATTGAAGTAAATAGACACTTTATAAAACAAAAAAGAGTTTGGGACTTAGTTGCCACCAGGTGTGTAAACAGCCTACTGTTAAAAAAAAAGAAAAAGAAAAGCTATTGCTAAAACAATTCAATAGAAGAAGAAGAAATAAAAACAATGCTTCTAGTTGTAGAGAGGCCAAATTTGAGTCTTCAAGATGAAAAATCAAACATTATATTGAAAAATCAGAATATATTAATCTAGATCACCTCAGAGAATCAAGAAAAGAAAAATAAGGAATTCAAAGCAGCGTATTAGTACAGAACGCAGTGATTAGGAACAGTGAGCAGCGTATTAGTACAAAATGTAGTGACTGAGTGCAGTGTATAAATGCCGTGAGCAATGCTATGAGCAGTCATTCAACTGATCGACAGCGCTAATAACAGAAATTTAGAATATATCCAACTCACTCAATGTCTCCTTTCAGTACAGCTTAGTTGATTACAACTCTTTTGGCTCACACTCATTATGCCTTATTAACTTGACCCAAAATAAAAGAACAAAAGTACAAAAATCACATAAATATAGAGGGAAAAAAAAAAAAAAAAAAAATTCGTTAAGCAAAATGCCTTTTAGTGTTAGATTAAAACTCAAAATGCCTTTTAATTAGCTCCATCAACATATTTCTTTTTGTTTGAACATTTTCAATTCCAAGATCAATTTTAATGAAAATTTATACCTTCTACAATTGCAGTCTAAAACCTTCTAAATTCATATTGAAAATCTTTTTTGTTTTGTTTTTTGGGAATCTTTCGATTGTAACAGACGATAAATGATGTAATTGTGGATATTATTTACTTGGGAATTCGGATGTATATGAAAGTAGCTATAGAAAACAATAATGATGAGTTGGGGAATAATAATACAAAGACTACTGGACTGGTGCTACTCAATACCAGAGCTATAGGCGGTTACAAGTCAGTGAGTGAAATGCTCAAAAAAATGTTGAGATGCCATGGGGTAACTGTTTTACATTCTTACATGTCCCGGTGCCACAATTAACAGATGATGAATCCTCAAACCCGCTCGATTATATTCTCAAAACACATAAGATGATCAAGAGAAAACAAAACTCATCCGTTGTTTATTTCACTGGTTTGCTGTTAGACACTATGAGAAAATTTAGAGGCTTCGAGGTACATTACAACATCAATCTATAATTGTTATGTCATTTTGATTTTAATTCTCATCTATATTATTATATTAAGTGAAGCCCTTTTTTGGTTTCTTGAAGCTTTTGCCATGTGGCATTTATATAATAAATAAATAAATAAAATAATCTACAATAACTTTCCACTCAACCACATTTTCTAAATAACTACTCTACAATAACTTCTCTTCTCCAATAACTTACTTTTATCATTTTTCTTTTTTCTTTTTTCTTTTTTTCTTTCTTCCTCTCTTTCTACAATGGTTTTCTCTTTTAAAGAAAGTACAAAATTGTTGATACAATTATGACAAAGAAAGTACAAACTAATAAAAAACTATCTTTTGTTTCTTTTTTGATGGTAAGTGATCCACGAGTTTTCAAATTTTATATTATCAATGATTAAAACATTTATTTATTTGTTTTGTTTTTGGTATAAATTTTGTTCATTTTTTTTTCTTCCTCTCCTTTTACCATCATTCTATTACATGTTTTTTTTTTTTGTTTAACATTTTGATTTTTCAAAGAAAGAGATTAAGTATGTTGAAGATGCATAAAGTGCAGACTCATACAAGAGTTGGCCATTTGGTGAGTCATTATGTAGAATTTACATTCATAGAATTTGTATTCCTATTTTTTTTCCTAGGTTATTTTACATAAATTAATACACTTACAACTTATATGCATAATTCCAGTTCAAAAACTTATATACATAATTTATTTATTTTTCTAGATTATTTTACAACTTTGTGTTGACTTTTCAAGTAGTTACCAATCAATAGTTATTTATTTTTTTCATTGATTGAGTAAAAAAAAAAGGTGTTCTGAATTTTTATAGTAGTATAGATAATATATATATATATATATATATATTTAATTTTAATATCCACCAACACTTGGTATAAGAAATTGAGTTAATCAACCAAACTACTATGAAATAATGAACCAGCTCTATCACTACAACAACTGCATCAAACCCATTGGACAATTAACTCAACGTCCATGAAAAATAGATAAACAGTGACCCATATTTATGGGACAAAGAAATTCAAGAAATAAATATATAACATGTATTTTGTTTGTTTGTATAAATTCTATAATCCTTTTGTCACGACTTGCTCCCTGTACCCAAGGGTTAAGTATCGTGATGGCCACTAACTGAGGTTACCTATAGTCAATTCTTAAACAAATCAATAAACGCAAGCGGAAGTAATATTTAAATAAGGGTACCAAAATAACCATCGGAGCTTCTATTTTTATTACAAAATTATTGACCAAAAATGTCGATATTTACATAGAAAAATATCATAAAAGTGCTGTGTGTGTCTATTCCGCAGCTCCGCATCTAAGACTTTTCAAAACTATTTCTGAATTGCATTATTTCCTGAAAATTGGTAAACAACTATAAGTACATAGCAGAGTGAGAAATATTATACCAAGAGTATAAGGGACACGAAATAACCATGGATAATTATGTAGCCAAAATATTTACATAACTCAGTTTGATAAATAAATCATTCAGAAACTGAAATATAGATATTATGTAAATATATCGTCATAACCACAGTACAGAATAGAACAGAGCAGAGGTCACAGAAGTGACAGTCAGAACAAAGGTACAGATTCAAGAGGTGGCTCGTACGGATTCTAGAGGTGGCTCCCACAATAGTATAGTACTTAGCTCCACACAGCACTTTGGTCCGCACAGAACAGAGGTACGGATTCAAGAGGTGGCTCGTACGGATTTTAGAGGTGGCTTCCACAATAGTGTAGCACTTAGCTCCGCACAGCACTTTGCTCCGCACAGAACAGAGGTCAATGGATCCATGACAAACAAAGGACCACAAAGTGGTCAAACAGATGCCAATGGTTATTTACGTTTCCCAAGGCGTGGGACTCCCGTGGTGGTACTTACAGAACATAATTATATATAAGGTCATAATCAAATATTCTTTAAAAGTAAAAAAAAAAAAAATATATCCATGGGTTTCCTTTTCACAACTAGAGTTTAAAAATTAAACCACGTAACTGAAATATTTATATAGTTTATAATAACTTGTATAAAATAAATATAGTAAGTCAAAACATAAGTAAAATATATTTTGGTAACTCAAGATATAATATAACTCACCTTAACTTTAATATGTTACTCTTTCTTTCTACTATGAAAGACCCTTTCAGTTTCCAATATTTTTTCTTTCTTCCTATCTTTTCTTTCTTTCCTTTCTTTATTTTTTCTTTTCTTTCCTTTCTTCTTTCTTTTTTTTTTCACACAGGTTGATCAACTCCTCCCATAAATAGGGAGGAGGACGCCACAGGCGCTCAACACGTGGCAGGCATCGCTTTTGCTCAGATTTAATTTATAGTTATATAGATTTATTTTTATCCTTAATAGATATTTAAAATAATTACTTTTTGATCCAATATTTTAATATAATTATATAAATAAATTAATTCCTAATTAAATTACACTCTGCAAACTACACTCCAACCAGAGAAGAAACCTGCATTAACCTGCATTGCCTTTGAACAACACTCCTTGAATTTCCATGAGCAATACTGCAGCCCTATAGTCATTCTGCAAACTCAGAAAAAAAACTCATTCTGCAACACTCCTTTTAATAATTATATTATTTTACAAAATTATGCATAATAATATATAATAAATTATATATTTTCCGAACTGAGATTAAATAATATTAGTATAAATTCTACGAAATAATTAAAAATTACACCTTTAATAGTTTTTTATTTCTTCTTTATGTTGCAAAAATAAAATAAAATAAAAAACTCCATTTTCATTTTCTTCGTTACGTTGATTAAAAAAACACAAAAAATAAAAAATTAACTGTATAGATTTTGTGTATATATTATCTTTATGAGTATATTTTTTTTTTCTTTGTTTATAGATTTTGTGCACACATATATTAGATGCTTTACAAATGGTATAGATAGATGCCAATTTCACAATGCAAACTTGAATTAAAATTATACAAGTTATCATTCTAAGTATAAATTTATTTTTTTTATATAAATTTTATTGTATACATTTTAAATATATATAAAAAAAATTATGACTTTTTATTTTTTAGAAGAAAAGCTCTTTTGTTTCTTTTTGTATATTGATTTAACAAGTTAATAGAGAAGCCAGAAAAAGAAAACAAAAAAAGAAGAAAAGAAGGTTTTACCCATTGTGTGTTCAATTTTTTTTTTTTTTTTTTTTTAAGTTAGGCAAACTATTTTTCAATTTCTAAATTGTTTCTAAAAAAATAGTATTCCAAACTTTTCAAAAAAAAAAAATTGCAAACACAAAAAATAAAAATAAAAATGAGGACGTTCTTAAACATTTTTTGAAACACAAATAATAACAATAATAATAAAAAAAAACAAAAAAAATCTCTTAATTCTTGGATGAATGAGAATTGTATGTTAAAAATATATTCCAAAAGTTAATTTATTTTAGAAAAAAGAATCAGAAAGAAATAGATATTCAGAATAATTTTAAATTTCAATATATTCCAAAAGTTTCATTATATTATCAAGTTCCTTAAAAAAAAAAATTGACTATTATTTTACTTCGTTTATATCAAAAACAATTCAATGTAATTGTTTATATTTCTTTGGGTATATCAAATCTATTTAACTATAATATTCTAAGAATCTTGGATTTGTAATTTTTAAAAAGAATACTATTTTTTTAAGAATCACTAATTTATTTTGTTTATATCAAAATTTTAAGTGTTCACTATTTTTTTTTAATAAGTTTGTAATGTATAATTATTTTTTTTAAAATAATATTTTTTTTAATTTGCACACAAATTGTGTGTGCCCCACTGCCCAGTTGTTTTTAAACTTAGAATAAAAAAAGATATGTTGACATGAATCTTTCACAACTCTTAATGATGTAGAGCATCCAGTCCAAATTGTAGCAACTCATCATTTGAGATTAAACTCAATCAGGCTTACTCATTGAACTCACTTGAAATTTACCATTGATTAATTTGCTATCATATTAGTTAAATTTTGCACAAATATAAAATATTCCTCTTCAATCCAGTTACTTTGTCTGTTCGCTTTTCTGCCCATTTAAAGTAAATTTAAAGTGAATTAATGGAGTGTAGCCTTATAGGCAACGATAGATCTAGGGGGGCGACCACACCTCAAAAAAATTGAAATATATATATATATATTATACTAGAAAATTTAAAATTATAAGAGTTTGCACCCCTAAACATCTTTCGCACCGCATAGTGATAATCGTGTATCCGACCCTACTTGCAGACAACATCTAGGTACATCAAAGGCACATTGGAGAAGCCGAGCATCGCGTAGGAAATTCCACTCGAGCGGAAAAAAACATCTCCCAGTTGTAGACCGCCCAGAACTTGTTCCGCGCCCCCCCTTTCATAGAGGGCGCGAATTGTAGTTATAGCTACTTTAATTCGGACTCCTGTCACGGTTCTGAATCTAATCTCACAAAGTGCAATGTAAGATTGATAAATCACCAAAGAGCCCAAATCCGGCAAATCATTTTGGAAAAGCAGATTTTGAATCAAAAAGCACCAAACATGGACTGCTTTTCCAGATTTCAAAGTCGCCACCTAAATATTTTGTTTTTGGAAAATTTAGGAAACCCTTACTCGTGCCTAAGGCCACGTGTCCGTCATCACCAAAGTTGCCTCGGCTCGGGAACTTAGGTACGAGAGGGGAAGGTTCTGAAATGAGCACCCTCGCTTGCCCGATCAAAGGATCGGCCTCTACTAACATGATATGTTGTTTTTGAAAACACATGTGTTCTTATTCTACTTTATTAGCTAACTTACTAAGTGATGCGCACAACATACAAATATAGACTCAATCACTCAAGTTGGAACAAAACATCTCATGTTCGTTTGTTTGAAAATGGTTTGAAAGTGCTACTCGCAAGTAGGCTAAGTCGCGGATTTGCCACCCTCAAGTGGGCTTAGAAAACAAAATGATTTTGCCATTCTCAAGTGGGCTTAAAACTCACATTTTGATGAATTGTTCCAATTCCGGCAATCAAGCCTCCGCCCACAGGCATTTATATAGTTAAGCACTTAAGCAATTAGCCTTATGGCAAGCATACTAAACATGGAAGCCACTTACACACCTGCAAGGATGCTAAAGCGTAAACACTCACAGTGTACTCCGAGCCAAAAAAGAAGCTAGTTAGTAATCCATGCATGATCCTAGCTATGTTAACAATGCCTAATGCAACACATGCAAAAATGTAACTAAGATAGGCTCGGCTATTCTAATATGTCATGTGAATGCAACTAGATAACGTGTATTCAAATTGGTATTGAAATACGATGCAGTTTGAATGATGTGCCGAGCCCGGTGCATGCAAAACAGATGAATGATGCACACATGCAAGCATAAGTATGCTAATTAAAACATGCCCCTAAACTAACCATCGAAAGCGGTTAAGTAAAAGGGAGAAAGAAATGGGGTTGGAAGACATGCATCACACACACGCACACTCATTACAAAATTTGCCCTCTCGACGGAGGGTCCGAATAATAAGCTAAGTAGC